ATCATAATAATAATAATAATTTTATCATTATGTACAGTACTAAAACGTATAGATGCAAGAAATCTATGACCTGTATAGGGCGCACAGCGTAGCCTATACCGTCTAAAAGGAAATATATATATATACAATCAGCTACAATAAATTTCTAGCAACAACAAAAAAAACCTCTAAATTCTATAAATCTGTAGCGGTATCCTAAGATTATTAAAAAAAAAATGTCCAAGCTTATATAAAAGTTGCTTTAAATGTTCGTGCTATATGGAGCGAGTAAGAGATGATGGCTTTCTGCATCTTCTCCAAAACACACTTTGATCGGGCACCAACAAGCTTCTTCATAATTTGCTCCAGCTTCTTTGACCATCCTCCCAATGCATCAATTATGATATTGCATTGCTGTACCTTGTAACCATTGCTGTTGTTTTAACTCCAAGAGTAGTGCACCGTACTTAATTGCCTTCTCCTCAACTTTCTTTTCACGATTTTTAAACCAGAGACAGCTCATTTCGACTGCCCAGACTTGCTTTGCCTTGTGGTCCACGAATCGTACATCCACCCTATTGGCTTTGACGTAGGTGTGTTCAGCATACACCGGCACATCCCAGAAAGCTTTAGCATCATCCGACTCATAGATAGATTTTGGAGTCACAGGTGAGTACCAAGGGGGAACACTTTCCACTAATTTAAGATCTTTGCACTTCTCAAAGAATAATATCTTCAGAGCAGCATTGTGTCAGTCCAAATACTTTGATTGAGCCAGTGTAGAACATCCTGACAGAACGTGTGGAAGGGTCTCTGCTTCTTTACCGCACAGCCTACAACTTACATCTCCCTGGGTTGTTTTGGTCTTGCGTGACGTATACACTTTGGTTGGCAATAGTTGTTCATAGAGCTCCATCATACCAGTTATTATTATTATCATTATTACTATTACTATTACTATTACTATTGCTATTGCTATTGCTATTGCTATTGCTATTGCTATTGCTATTGCTATTGCTATTGCTATTGCTATTGCTATTGCTATTACTATTACTACTACTATTACTACTACTACTATTATTATTATTATTATTATTATCATCATCATCATTATTACTTGCCATGCAAAGGATTTACAAGAGAAAGAAGGAGAAAGAGAGAGAGGGCGACGAAAGCTAAATAAGTGGGATGAGAAAGATAAAGCGACTAGAAATCATTAATTTTCAATATTTTTTTTTTTACTCACAATTTTTCCTGTTYCCCCCGATTGTTCTCCGCTGTAAGTCGTAGCCATGATACCTGGACACTCTTCTGCATAACCTGGATTAGTGCCATCAAAGTTCACACCATTGATTGCAATTGTGTAAATACTGTTAACATARCCGTTATAGGCACAGCTGTCCCGAACTATGCCGCCGTTCCCAGCTGCRAAAGTGTAAATAGCACCCAAGCCATTACGACCCTGACGAATAACACAAGAGAAAATAGAAATGGGTCAAGGTTCTCATTGACGGGATAAATTATTCAAATGGAGATTGGCGAATAACACACATATAAATCATGTATGGAAAAACCTCATCCCYCCTCCCAAGCAATACACACAATAAATAAAACAATACCCTGACCCTTGCTTCGTGTAGATGACACAGTCTATATGATTCAATATCCACTTTAAATCGTATAAAATAAAGCAAAGCTAACAAGAATATAATAGTTTAAGCCAGGGGGAATATAATAGTTTAATAAGCCAGGAGGCCTCGTTGGCTATGAGCATATGTACAAATCGAGTTCGTTGGAGTGCCCATTTTAATTTCATGAACCAAGGCTTAAAGTTGCATGGAATCAGTCTATGCGGTGGGGGACTGATAGAATAGAAAACGTAAACGAGACAACTGTAAGATGAATTTTTCTTGATTTAAGGAGTAYGCACGGTCTAAAAATAACTTTTCGGGAATTCCGATATCCCAAGGATAGTGCGCGTTCCCTCTCTGTCCTTCGTAGTCGCTTGTGTATACTACATAGCTATCTAATGGAATTTGTTGAACAAACATAGGTTGTATCTGTTTTGATGATGTCTATTAATATTGAAGTAAGCAGCTTTGAAAAGTGTGTTTATTATTCCCTCATGAGAATCAAGGATCAATAATCAGATTAACGACGTCCTGCAGTGGGACTATTTTTGTGTAACAACATTCTCAATCATATACTATTTTACTTTTAATCCCGCTGAATTCCAAAGATACACATTTCGACGAAGGATTGCTGGTCTGCTCGAAAATAAATCCATGAAAATCAACCATCTCTTTTT